CCGGCAGCACTGCCGAGCTGCGTGTTCCTGCGCACGGCGGAACATCGAATGTTTGAGCAGCCAGGTCCTTAAAACCTGCTGCTGCACGTGCCATTTAGTTCTTGTAACGGAGTATGGTCTTCCAGATGAAGAACGTTCTCTGGTCTTGCCTGGCACCTGTTGGTAATGGATTCTCTCTTGGGTTCTAATTCTAACAGTTAACGGGACTGTTCCAGTTCACCGTCCGATTGGCGTCCGAGACAGAAGCCCGGTTCACATCGGTGGAGAGGATCAATCACTACATTAAGGTCAGACTGCTTCTGGCCCTTCCCTCGGATCTGCTTCCTCCTGGGGTCACCTTACCTTTTCCTCGCTTAGATGGACATGCAAGGAGGAGGCCTGCTTTTCCCACAGAAGATCACCCGCTAATCTCCAGCTTGTTTGGAATGGAGACATGAGTACCAAAAGCGTATCTAAATATGTCTGTAAATGTGTCCAGTCGAGAGCTTACGGCTGATTCAGAGTTCAGAATCTTGTCGGTTCGGTTGAGCTATTAAAACATTCCTTATACGTTCAAAGCCATGTATTCTTGTCTAGTCCAGCTGCTCTTACCAGGATGGTCTGGAGATGCTGAAGCAGGAGGTCGAGAGTGGGACGCAGGCTTCCATGGTTTTTAAATGCTCCGTAGTGACTTCTCAGCTGCGTTAGAAGTTTAGAAACCAGTAGATTTAGTCAGTACTGCGAGGGTCTAGCCCTTCTCCCCTTTCCCTGGGAGCTCTCCAGTCTTGCCGTGGGGGGCATTTTGCTGAATCCTAATTGGAGTTCTGCAAGCAATTTTTGATAGAAAGGAGCAGAGCTTGGGGCCAGTAGGTGGCAGGGAGATTAAAACATGGCTGACTGTGGTTCAGCTTGAAGAATACGCCAGGCACATATGTGTGCACACCTGGAATCCTGAGAGGAGATGGGGCAGGGAGGTTAAAGCAGCTGGTCCCACATGGCCGACTGTGGTTCAGCTTGAAGAATACGCCAGGCACATATGTGTGCACACCTGGAATCCTGAGAGGAGATGGAGGAGAAGGGATTGCAGTGTGGCCCTCCCCACTGGGGGCTGCTTTCTTACTCCCCTCTTTCTCTGGCAAGTACATGTGCCCCATAGCAAAATTTTTAAAAAAAGAAGAAGAAAAAGAAAGAAGGAAAGCAATGCATGAATAATTAGGATTCTCACGTTTAACTCAGTTCTCCGAAGGTGCAATATTGTGAACTGCCCTGAGACTTGGCCAGCACATGTGTCATTGTTTACATGGGAAGAACACATTCGAATTCCAAGTCACTGACTTGCAGACATAGTTTTGAAAAACTATCGTTTACCTGAGAACCGAGTGTGTATAAACCGCATTTTCTAGCAGAGATATGCTTCCCCTATTGAAGCGTGATGAACTCCACTGTAGAGTTCACTCCACTCTACAGAAACACTGTAGAGTGTTTCTCAATCTTACTAATGACTGTTCACAGCAAGAGTGACAGGTGGCTGCCGTAAGGGTCTGGATACCACCCTCTTTGCCCAGTGTCCTGGCATGTGGACGATATGCGTGTACACCTGGGTGTGTGGTGCCTGAGTTTTTCCATTGCTGTCAGTAACCATGTGTGGGAGAGCCCAGGGTGATGGTCAGTGGAGACAGAGGGGCTCCTCTAACCAGTCACGTTTCCGAGGACTGCCTTCCTCCCGCCGTCCCTAGCCTGGGTGCCTTCCCAGCATGGAGGCCATCCAGCTTAGAGCGCAGACTTGGACTCCCTCCCACGCAAGCACAGCAGGCTCTGGCCCTTACTTCCCTGTAAGGGCCTAAGCTCCTGGGCTGACAGGGTTTAGAACCTGGTGAGGCATGACTGTTGACAGCGGCCATATCACTGCGTTCTATAGCTGGAATGGATCTCCAAGACCAGCCGTCTCCACGATTTCAGATGAGAAACTAAGGCCCAGAGAGAAGATGTGACATGTCTAGGTCACACAGCTAAACTCAGAATGCTTGTTTCCCAGATCGACCAAGAGCCGCTAAAATGCCATTACCTGATCGGATGTTCAATAAATGTTAGTTTCCTTCCTCCGTGTTTAGGCCAGTTGCTTCAAATGGTGCAGTCCTGTCTCAAGTGGAATATTTCCAAGGACTTGCAGTAAAGACTGCTCTGGTCGAAGAGGGATAGACGGCCCCATGCCCTATTCAGCTGTGCTCAGTCCCCGAGCAGTTTGGGGAAAGCGCCTTACACTCGGAGGCCGGGTCTAAACCACCGCTCCCTGGCTGACGCTCAGCAGCCTAGCGCTCGGTGGCATTGTACTCTGTCTCCATGTAGTTGAGTGGTGATGAGCACTTCCTGCCCAGGGCTTCTTTGACGGCGAGGGAACGAGTGGCTGCCTCGGTGTGGCTGCTGCGATCGTCCTGGTTTCACTTCTCTGACAAAGTCAGACTGTGGAGAGTCTGAGTTGGCCTCTCGTGTCTCCCCAGACTCTCTCCTTGGAAGCTCCTGCCAGAATTAAGAACAAGGCCCCTTCCCCTGACTGGCCCCAGGAAGGAGAGGTGACCTTCGAGAATGCGGAGATGAGGTACCGGGAAAACCTCCCTCTGGTCCTGAAGAAAGTGTCTTTCACCATCAAGCCCAAGGAGAAGATTGGCATCGTGGGACGGACAGGATCAGGTAAGGACATCGAAGGCCTCCTTGGGGAAACGGAGAACTTAGCAGATTCTTGGTAGCACTTTCATCCCTTCAAGCCGGATCCCTGTTGGGTGAGTGATTAGTGTCTCAGGCCCTCTGAAATCAATTTTCTATGTTTATTTTTTACCTCGCTTTTATGACATTTAGTGTATTTTCCAGTCATAAAAGTATCCACTCAGTGCAGAACACCTGGGACATACAGCAAAGTACAGACGGGACGAGCACCCGGGCCCACGGCGCAGAGACAGGCCCTAGTAATATTTCGGCAGCTCTCTTATTTGGCTTTCTCTGCTTATGAAAGTATGTTCATTTCCACATGCTATTTCATGGCTTTCTTTTAAAACCATCAGTGTTTTCCCGTGACCGCTACGCAGCCACGTACCAAGTCCTACTTTATGGACACACCGTGGTTTATGTTTTACCGATCGCTGGTTGGTAGGGAGTTGGGATCGTCGTCAGCTTTTCATGGTTATGAATGGCCCTGCAGTGAGATCCCATTTCTATGAAGTCAAACCATGAAGAACTGTAAGGATTTGTGATATATTGCCGTAGCCTCGTATTTGTCAGAAGCTAACATCGCTCTAAATAAAGAACTTGGTTTCTCCAAAGGCAGAAGCTGTCTTATTGATCAGTGTCAGTTGAAATGAAATAGAGCATTGGCCTCACTTTTAGGCCGGGTTTTCCTTCCCTCTTATTCTTAGAAATGTGCTATCATATACCCTTTTTCTTCTTCTTTTTTTTAAAGAATTATTTATTCAATTTTATTTATCCATTCATTTATTTCAGTTTGACCAGAGAGAGAGAGAGGGGGGAGTGAGAAAGCAAGCCACCAAGGTCTGGGACTAGAACCGTGGTCGGCCATATGGGATCATACAGCGCCTTAACCACCATGCCACCTGCTGGTCCCCAATACTCTCTAGATTTCTAGGGTTAAGACTGGGGTAACTTGTTTAGTTCCCGCTTTCTTTCTTTTTTTTTGGAGAGGTTTTTGCTATAGGGCGCGTGCGTTCACCAGAAAGACAAAAAGAGGCGGAGAGACAGAAAGCGAGAAATCACCCCCCAGGGGGGTGGCCACACCGCAATCCCTTCTCCTCCATTCTCCTCTCCGGATCTTGGGCACGCACGCACTCGCACCTGGCGTATTAAGCCACCGTGTCCGGGACTCGAACTGCGGTTGACTACATGGGAGTCCAATGACATAGCCATTATGCTAACTGCTGGTCCCCCCTCTTTCTTTCTTGTATATGTTTCAAAGATCGAATTACTAACCTGTTTATTCTTGTGTAAGAGGTCTTTTCTGTTCGCTCTCATTAGTTTTGGGGCACCATGCTTACTTAGAGTCAAAACTCTTCTAGATTTCCTTTTTGCAATTAAAAAACAGCAGCAACAATAATAGCAAAAGGCCTTTTGTCTTTTAAAGAACCATCTAAGAAAGTAGTAGTGGTTTTCTGCTGTCTGTGAACTTATTTCCTGTCAGATACGACCCTGCCTCCAGTTCCCTCTGGGAGAGACTCTTCTGCCATGGAGGTGGCTGCCCCACGGTGGTTGTCCTCTCCTGCTCTGCTGTGTCCCCGGGAACACTGCTCTTCTGAAAGCTGACCGGTGTTCCTGCTATGATTTTCTGTAACACTGGCAGCATAGACCAAAATACTCACTAAGACGTGAACATCAGGTGGTGACAGAAAAGAAATAAGCAGAAGAAGAAAACAGTGATAAATAGTCTGACTTACAGGGTCGAAGCTCTCTCCCTAACACAGCTTCTTCCAAGCTCATGGGCCCTGGCTCTGCTGTGGTCAAAGTTAAGGACTCCGCCAGGAGGCCGCCTCGCATTTCTGACCCCCAACCCCATCAGGGCGAGGGTAGTCTACATTCAGGGCCCTGTACCGTCGTCCAGTCCAGGGGGTTCAAACCTGGCCACCGTTTGTGAAGTGGAACACCCGGACCCATTCATTTGGGCTCCGTTCCTTCCTCAGTTTGGATCTTTAAGCACTGCCTTGGCTTCAGTTGAGTGTCTCCTTCTCCTTGTATCTGGGTAAGGGGCCACTAGCCACGCCCCTAGTCCTGGGTGAGGGGCCACTGACCGTGCCCCCTAGTCCTGGGTGAGGGGCCACTGACCACGTCCCCTAGTCCTGGGTGAGGGGCCACTAACTACGCCCCCTAGTCCTGGGTAAGGGGCCACTAACCACGCCCCTAGTCCTGGGTGCGGG